GGATCTAATTGCTTCTATTGCTATTCAAACATGAGCATTGAACACTGGTTTCTCCAGTACAAGGAAAATTGTTATCTTTCCAAACCTGCCAGCCTTTGAATGGCTATAGAAAGATGGGAATACTTGAAGCAAGGTGTTACATCCAGCCTGCCTACAGTCATCTTCTGCTCACCAACACATAGCAGCTGAAGAAAGCCACCCCTAAACTCTTCAGCACAGACTTTCTGCATGCCTGATTTTAGGACGAGCCTCTCCAAAGCACAAGCGGTCATTCTATTCTTTCCAGTCTCACAAAGACCATACCCTACTGTGCTCCTAAAGAGAGCCAGCAGATTGGCTATCTCAACAGCAACCATCCTTCACTGGTATTTGAGCACTGTATTCTGTTCAGTTTCTTAGGAGAAACTAGCTTTCCTTGATGGAAAATAGATTTCTTTGATAGAAATCTCTAAACTTTGCTCTTAAATTCTGGAGGCTTTAAATTCAGGAGGTTTTTAAGAAAAGGGTAGATGTGGCACTGAGGGACGTTTTAGTGAGCATGGTAGACTTGGGTTGACAGTTGGACTAGATGACCTTTGTAGTCTTTTCTAACCTTAATGGTTCTATGATTCTATAAATATAGCTTTTAACTGAGGCACTTAAAAGACACCATAGCTCTACAAATGACAAATAATGATAAGCACTTGGGAGAAGTTACCTTGCTAGTCAATATCCATAAAGCAGAGTTAACTAATGATTAACAAACCTAGAAGGTACTAAGTATGCAGGCCTCTCTAATGGAGCAGAAGACAGGGAAATATTAAAGAAGCGCTAACAGCTGGCTTGTTAATACCCTGAGAGCCAATTTCCTACATAAGACACAAATGGGAAGGCAGAATTGTAATTAAGTCTATTTTAAGATAAACAGGAAAAAAAAGTCACCTAATGAATCATATCTTTTATTATACATGTGCTTGGCAACTGCTGGGCATCCAGATTTCTCCAGTTGCCTCTGTGGACCGGGACAGAAGTGCCCTGAGCTTGCTTCTGAGTTTCTGCAAGGGGCTTTCAGCAGTGGGAAATTAAATTAAGAGAAAAGGAGCCTCAGAAAGTTTTTCAGCAGATGTGAGCTGTGGACTCTCCATATGAGGCAAACCAGGAACAGAATATTCCTTTGCCATTTCCACAAAGCCCAGTAGCTGAGTGTAGAGCAGCCACTTCACAGCCACAGAGCAGCATGGCAGATGCTTGGGTGTGAGAATTAAGGCTACATCCTGTGAAGGCAGGACTTGGGCCACCAAGCCCAAGCATCTGGCGTGACTTCCAGTCTTGCTGCTGTCAATGGAGGAATGGACTTTAGGATATTCTAGTACCATCAACTTAGAAAATATACTTCCACATCAGCAATTTTCAACTAAGTTGTTCCTGCTTGTTAGGATCCCTCAAGAGTGCTTTGAGACTGCAAAGAAAACTTGCTAGGACTTATTTCACAGAAGAGAACAAACCAAAAATCACACAAATCTACGAATTGCTTCTAGTTTCATTTTTGTAAGCGGTAGAACTCATTCCCATTTATACTTCTAATTGGAGACAGAAAGAAAAGACTCAGGCCTTTCATCAGATACCATCCGGAGTGAGTTATCAGGGTTAAATCCATGCTGAATGGTAAAAGCAAATTAATCTAGGCTGATAAAGCGTGAGCATTTAGTTGCCAGGAATCCGCTAAAGCCCCAATCTGCAGAGATTTACTCCTGCACTTCATTTCAAGAACACAGACAGCCTGCCTTCCTCCAATCCAGCACAACTTCACTTCATACATTCATATATTTATTTTCTCAAGTGAAATGTAAAGAAAGAACTTTCTACGTGCTGCTGTCACGTAATGCCTGCGTCTAAGAAGCACATACTGAAATGATTCTTTAATTAGCTTAAAACGGCGCTGAATGCATGCATTCATATTTCACCAAAGTAAAATCAGAAGTGCCACCAGTCCTTAAGGTAAATGTAAATTATGTGTGTTTTACATAGAAAAGTAAACCCAACAAAGATGAGTTTGCATGCTTTACACCACTACACATTTGGAATACTGTACTGCATCCAGAAAAAATACCAGTCCATTTCAACTTTCAGTGCAATTCTTTCCAAACCCAGTGATTTTTTATTTTTTTTTTTATCCCCAGTCTGACAGTGTTGGGTGAGTCAGAAAGGTGAGTTGAGACTTTGGGAAAGTAAACTGATTGCTGTATGAGTGGCTTAATGGAGTCCATTTTATGCTACCATCTACTCACAAGCATCCACAAGTCATTACCGTGAGTGATCCATTTCACAGAATCACAGAATTATTTGAATTGGAAGGGACCTTTAGAGGGCACCTGGTCCAACTCACCTGCAATGAACAGGGACACCAACAGCAACATCAGTGTACTCAGAGCCCCAACCAGACTGATCCTGAATATCTCCAGGGACGCATCTCTATATCCATTGCATCTCTAGACAGCTTGTGCCAGTGCTTTATTGCTGGCTCATGAACAAGCTGCCATCCGCCAGTACCACCAAGTTCTTTTCAGCAGGTCTGTGCTCTATTCTTATATCTCTAAGCTTGTACTGATAGTTGGGGGTTGCCACGACTTGGATTTGTTGAACCTCATGAGGTTCACTTGGGCCCATTGCTCAAGCCAGTCTGAGTATCTCTGGATGGCATCCCATCCCTTAGGCATATTGACTGCCTCCTACAGCTTGGAGTCTTTTGCGAACTTGCTGAGGATGCACTCAATCCCACTATCAATGTCATGGATGAAGATATTAAAGAGCATTAGTCCAGTATTGACCCCTGAGGGACACCACTCGTTACTGATCTCCATCCTGACACCGAGCCATTGATCACTACTTTCTGGGTTTCATCTTGCAATCAGTTCCTCATCCATCAAAGAGTCCACCCATTTAATCCGTATATTTCCAAATTGGAGAGAAGGATGTTGTAGGGTACCACATCAAAGACCTTACTGAAGTCTAGATAGATGACATCAATGTCTCAAAAGGCCACTAGGCAGAACCTGCCCAATTAAGGAAGTATTTTCAGTTTAAAGCTTTTAGGCATGCCAACCTGCCTCACTTATAGGAGTGCCGCTGGTGAGGGTTTGGTGAGGATCTGGCAATCAGTGGCCCAAGGGGCTGGGCTGAGGTCTGCTCCAGCTCTAAACAGGTCGAGATGGCTGCCCAGCCCACAGTGTGAGGCAGTGGGACACCTGCAGCGTCACAGCCAGGGGGAAGAGACGGGGGTTTATGACTACCATCTAGACAAATTTTATTGAGAACTTTTATGCCTGTAGGTTTGAGTAGTTTTTATAGAGAGGAGTTCTGAAAACTGCCATAAAATTTTGCCTTGGGGGTTATGATTACATTTGTATCTTTCCCAAACTTATATAAATAAAGACGACAGTTTTTACTGTAGAAGCTTAAAAGGTTAGGGAGGTATTTGGGTCTGTGATGAACCTTTTATAGATGTGATGTTATAAGAATTTATTCTTAAATATCAATAAAAAAATATATAACTTTACATTTCTTGATAAAGCAACAGCTATTAGAATAAGAGCTATCTACGTCAAAGAGGTGGCTGCATTGCTACTGAATTCCTTTCTGTCACAATAATACTTGGTTACATTTCTGCTAACTGGAAACAGTTAACTAATTTGAATCCTATCAAACTAGCACCGTTTTGTTTTCTAAGAACACTTTGTAGTTTCCTAGTGTCAGATGCAAGACTCACATCACAACCAATTTTTATGTTATGATTACATCATTTGGTTATGCAGGACTGGCACCACATATAATTAAACCTTTTAAACTATGTCTTATGATTTTTGTGCAAGTAAAAGAGAAACACAAGGCTAAAAACAAACAACTCTCTGCCATTGGACTCTATAGTTTCCCCTGCCGTGCTTCTGCTGTTTGATGGCCTGTGTTCTCCTGCGGTGGATCTCTCTCCCTCTCTTTCCCTCTCCCACACATCCACACATTTGTGCCCAGAATCAATTGCTCTCCAAAACCTGGCAGTGACAGGATCATAAAATCAAATGCTCCCAGTTTCAGAAGCAGTTCGTACCGGTTAAAACAGACACTGTAACTCGTCTCAGGGAAGCAAGGAAAAACTCAGCGGTGGGGCTCTTTATCAAGATTAATACACTTAGTCTGCAAACACAGAACAAATTGTAAAGTGAACACCTGAACACTGGAAATGAGGACTATTGAACCCATTCTCTCCTCTCAAACAGAATCACAGTAGGATTTTAAATTTCAATGAAACAAATGATAATCTTATTTCAGATAGAAATCTGAAAATCTTATCTTGTTTCAGATAGAATGACTAATTACTGAGGAAAACTCCTTCAAAGCATTCACTGTAAGCAGTTCTTGGTTTGCAGGCACCGCATGGCACAGCGGGGCTCTGAGCACTACACTGCTGCAGAAATACCTTCTTCATCTTAGCACCGAGTGTGCATGTTCCAAAGGAGGAATGCTAATTAAATCTTTATGAAGTTATGCAGTCCAAACCACACTCCCGAATGAAACTTTTTGCCCACAAGTACCTTAAAATAAAACCACACAAACTGGGCACCCTCATTCAAAAACATACATTTTAAGTACTCATAATGAGTTACCATGCTTCGTAATTAGAAATAGACACAAATGAAAATGAAAATTCAGGTCTCCAAACAGAACTATAACACCAAAATTACATGAAGAAGCAAGGGGGGAAATGCCAAAAAAAACCAGCCCCTTTCTATTTCTTACTTATTGTCTAAAAACTCCCTTCTCACTAACCTTGATTTCCTCTCAATCAGATGCTGCTTTAAAAAGAATCATATGCTCCAGTCACAGAAAAACACGGATTTCACAGCATGCCAATGGGAATCATAATATTTACATCTCTTTGTGATACTTTATTCGGAGTTACAGGCATTTTTACTAACTTTTCATACCACACAGAGATCTCTGCTAAGTAAGATTTGAATATCCCTTACCTTACAGACTTCATCTCTTCTTTTGCCTCATGATCATACATTTGATCCACAGATGTACAGGGTTGCTAAAGATACAGTTGTACAGCAGCATCCAATGACGAGAAGAAGCCTGGTGTATGAGGCACTGTAATAGAAAAAGAGATGTGCAGGTTTGAATCATGCCACAGAAAAATGTTTTAACATTTTGTAATCAAGAATATTCCACAGTTGTATTTTAACCTTGTCCATTTGAAGCCTTTGGGGACAGTATGAAAACTTTATTTCCAACGTTCGTCTCTTTCACCTTAACATTCACATTCTACAAAACATTTCAACATACATTCGAGTTCAAGAATCTAAGTTCAACATTTGCTGAAGCACTTTGTCAAATAATGAAGATAACTGTTGGTTGCATTCATCAGTAACCTTAATAGAGACAGGCAGTGGACAGGTACTCTTTTAAGTTACCTGGAAACTAGGTTGCTTTACGGTAACTGAAAATTAAGAGAGCTTTTAATAGCAAAAACATCATTATCAATTTTCCCTCTTTCTCTCAGAAGGAACCAAGGTCTGGGTAAAGCTGAATGACCACAGTGAGTTACAATACAGTTGTCTGAGAAACAGAAAGGCTGCTGACACTTATTATCTGAGCTTTCCTCTCAAACTAGTTTTTTTCCTCTCTTTCAAACTGCAGGATTTGATTCTAAGAAGACATTTGTTTTGTTTCTAAATCTTGAATCAGCAATAGTAGCATGGGAATTTAGGTTAACATCACGCACACAGCTAATGTTGCCATCTGAAAGCTCATGAGAATTAATGACTGAAAATGATTCACATAAAGTGTTACCTAGGGAATTAGAAGGAGAGAGATTTGTTAATACCTTCACCTGTTTTTCTGTATTTTGTGCTGAAACTTAAATCATTATAATTTTGTTATTATCTCTTTAGGTCTTGCTACAGTGATGAATTCCTAATTGGTTAACTATAATCAAGCTTAAAATATCACTGCCTGACACAAAATTTGATTCCAGGCAAAAACAGCATTAAGAAGAGATGTAGTACTAGTAATTAAAAAAATATATAATTATTCTCATTTATTTTTTTTTAAAGTTGGTTGCTATCATTTTAATTACATAAAATTCACTTGTAATGAAATGCATGTGGGAATCTTCTGCCAAGCTAAGACTTTATAAGGATTGCTTGTCCAGTTCTCTGATATCTAATCATCTCAAAGCAGAGGCACAAACTTGGAGAAGATGGGGAGAGAGTGCTAAAGTGAAACCCTTGAACTCTGGATCTGAAAACATTCCTTTCAAAAGAAGAGGGCTCCCTTGCCCTTGTTTTCTACCCCACCAAAACCAAGGACACAAAACTTCACTGAATAGCCTTCCAATAAACTCTTCAAGGTATCTGGAACAACATATTTCATATATATTGACTGGCCTCAAAGGACTGTAGCAGCTAAATATTGCCCAAGGGTAAGAAGAGATTCAGAGAGAGCGAAATATTGCCGGGAGGTGGAAGCTAAAGGCAATATGCACAATCAAAGGAGCGATTGTTACCTTAGGCCATTTTCCTGCCACTGTCTCCAGGGATAACCAGAGTTTGTTTATCGCCCTTAAAGTGTTTCTCTGGAAGCTGAAGAGTTTCTGCAACAAGGACTTAGCGTATAAACACCACAAATCTGCAAGGAAATTTCCTGCTTGGAAGCCTTTGGAGGTGGCAGTGGGCTCTTTGAGCTGCTGTACTGGGATTCAGTCCCCAGAGTTGAACTCACGAGTGTTCAAGCACATGGTGAGCCTGAATTTATTTGTCAGGAGTTGAGCCACTCCATCTGACACCTCCACTGAATGAGGTATGTGAGCACTGTGGGCTGTGGTTAAAATGGTCATAAACACTACCAAACAGCTCCACATCTCTGCTTTGGCAAGGTAATGGGATTGCCCAATGGCTAAAGAGCAGACTATAGCAGAGAGAGAGCAGAATGGAGAGACCTCAGATAGCTGCTGTAATCTGGGCTGCTGCGAACATGCTTTTGGGCTCTAGGGACAGAAAGATCTTCCTAAAGACAATAATTCTGCCACCATTCACCATCCCTGAAGATTTTCAAGAATAGTGGAGATGTGGAAATGAGGGACACAGTTAAGTGGGCATGTTGGTGATGGGGTGATAGTCAGACTTGGTGATCTTAGAAGTCTTTTCCAGTCTTAATGATTCTATGGTTCATTCAGCTCATATTTAAACATTTGAAACATTTCCATCCCCCCATGAATACATTATTCAATCTGCAAAATCCTGATTATTTTTCTTTTTTTTTTTTTTTCAATTTGATGAAATCTAGAATTCTTGCATTAACAGGTGGAATATCAGATCCTTCTCATTCGATTACACAGGCCACATACCTGTAAAGAGCTGCTGTTTCCCATTCTGGGATCTGTTGTATTTAGAGTATAGAGCTATCAAGTCCTAGAAGGGCAAACCTGAACACTAGCCAGCAAAGTTTAATACTGATGGTGTCTTCTCTCAGTTTATTACACATTTTAATAAGGCCTGACTGCTAGAGCACTCAGTAACCTTCATAACTCAGCCCTAAATGAAAGCCGGCAAACATCAGCCCTACATGGGTGCTTAATGGGAGAAAACTGATTTGTGCTTTGTTACAAATGCACCACGGGCATTGTGTCACACAAGCAGAAGGGGTGTTTTAGTTAACCTTTAGGTTTTCCTCATTAAACTGAGTAGCTGCCACTTAAAAAAAAATAAAAAAAATCCTGTCTTTTGAATTGATTGTGACATGACAAAGAGCTAAATGCAGATTTACTGTGTGGCACAGAACCCACAGTCCAGAAAGAATCAATTTTTATAGGCTTGTTTGTTTGTCTAGATCCCTCTTGATTAGCACTGTCACGTAAAAACATTCAAAATATGCAGGATAATGATGGAAAGTCATGCTGCATTTTTACCCCAGAGACACCAGCAAGTGCAAGGCAAACCAGGAACACATGACACTGTCCCAACCAGGAAACCGAGGAGAGACTCCAGCTTCATGGCCTGAATGCAAGCTGGGGGACACTAGGCAAAGCAAATGTCACTGTGCTACCGGGGTGCATCCAGAACCAACACAACTGGGAAATGGCAAATAAGTAGCAACCAAAACAGAATTTCTTCAGAATGCCTTCATACAGTTTTGAATTGTTTCTTTTTATTTATTTGATTCTTAAAAAGAGCTGTTTGATTCAGGCTTGCTTACAGCATTTGCTTGTGCTATGAGAGCATAGATCTCCAAGAATTTAGCCAGCAGAATGGGATTCTGCACATTTCTAGATTTACTCTTGGGCTGTAGAATGAAGTGCCAATGCTGGGAAGTCAGACCCAGCGACCACTTCCAGAGGACCAAAATAGCACTGCCCTATAGTACCATTTGGAGGGATTTGAACAACATCAGCCTAATTTCTTGCCATTTTAGCTGCTCTGAGCAGGAAGGAAGCAGAAGAGTGTCCCAGAGGAAAGGAGAGGTTCATACAATCCCCTACGCCCTATGCTTGCTTGCTTCTAAGTTATTTTGCTCCCTATACTCACCAACAAGCAGTGCCAGATGTCTGAGACTGCCCAAGGGGCACCATCATGTGGCTGTTACCACAACAAGTAGAATCATAAATCATTAAGGTTGGAAAAGACCTCTAAGATCACAAGTCCAACCACCAACCCATCTCCACCATTCCCACTAACCACATCCCTCAGTGCCACACCTCCAGCAACAGTGAGTCCACCAGCTCTCTGGACAGCCTGTACCAGCGCCTCACTGCTCTTCCTGAATGGAAATGTTTCCTATATCCAACCTGAACCTCCCCTGGCACAACATAAGGACATTACCTCTCATTCTATTGCTTTACCTGAGAGAAGAGACTGACACCTACCTCACTATAACCTCCTTTCAGGGGTTGTAGTGAGCAGTGAGGTCTCCCCTGATCATCCTCTTCCCCAGACTGAACAGTCCCTGTTCCCTCAGATGTTCCCCTTAAAACTTACGTTCCAGACCCTTCACCAGCTTCCTTGCCCTGAAGCAACAGTGCAGCAGTGCCAGTGCCTCCTCCAGGTCAGGAGTTGGATTCCTCTGACCTCTCAATTCCCCATGAGGGGTGTACAAACAAGATGATGAAGACTTTGGACAGGATTTTTTGCCAGCATGTATCTTTCTATTATTGTAACAGGTTGGCATCTCTAAAGAGCAAGGAGTGGGTGCCAAGTTTATTACTACCCAAGTTTTATAATTTACAACCTGCACAACGGAAGGCTGAAAACACAGCAATTTTGCAGGGTAATTCTGGGAAGTTACTATCCTACAGCACCAATTATTAAAACCACTTGCACACATTAAAGCTATAAAGATTAAAAATATAGCACATTTGTAATTAAATATGTATGAAATCATGTAATATGTATTATATACCAATGCCATGGCCAGCCGCATGTGCTTCAGCACAGCCCCATGGAAGAACTGCAAACCCCAAGTCCCAAATCAGCACGCATTTTGTCAAAGCCGAGGAACAAGTTTGTCATGCAAAATAAACACAGATGTTCCAAGCACTGACTGTAGCTTTCAGGCAATGGCTAGGAAAAGAAAGTGCTTGAGGAAAATATGCCTCTCAGTGCAAGTCTACCATCTCTGCACATACTGTACTTCGGCATCAGCTGAGGCTGGATGAGTCATTTAAAGGACATATCCTGTTGTTGTTTTTAATTTGGTTTGCTGTTCATTGTATTTTTTCCTCAATGCTCTGTCTTGAAATGTATTCAAATGGCTCCCCATCCTGATGTGCCTGGCACGCTCTGGTGACACAGGCACTCTTTTGTATGTTGCTTAACTAAATCTGCTTCTCGTTTTAGAAAGGCTAGAGTTTATTAGCACCTCAGGCCTTGCTTTGCTTTTTTATTGCAATTGTTTTCCTCTTCTCCCTCATTCAATTCCCCTGAGGAATGAATCATTTTCTATTGTGCTACACACAGGAACATCTTTCCACTTTTCTAACTACTGCATGTGATGCTCATGGTCTAGGTACATAAATGCATGTACAAACCTTAGAAGCGTAGAAAACTTTAAGGTTGGAAAAGATCTCTGAGGTCATCCAGTCCAACCATCAACCC